TTACGTTTAACGTGCTTTTCTTATTAGAATACTTACGTTTTACACGTGGCTTTCCTTGTCAAATGAATATTTACGTTTACACGTGCCTTTCCTTGTCAGATGAATACTTACGTTTACACGTGCCGTCCACCAGTACATAATCTGAACAGCACTCTCTTTCCGTTGTACTTAAAGACAATACGATATAAAAATTACAGGCATGACTTAATAATAGATGGTACATTTGGTAAACCTGCATTTATGTATAATAATTTTATTGTTCTTTTTTGTTAAAAACAAGCTTTCTGAGAGTATTGCATAAGCAATACTAGTCCCCTACCGGCAAGTGTAATCTGGTTCCCCTTCAAGAATTAAAAAATCCATAATTCCATGAAAATTCATTGAAGCGGAACAAAATGCAAACTTGATCTATATCTCATGGAGGTGAACTCACATACCTAAACATCAGTTCAATATCTGCAAGCGTTTAGGAAAAAGTGTGGGAGAACAAGTGGGAAATCTGGTTCCCCTCAAAAATTTAGAAAAGGCTGTATTTCTGTCAAAAATCATTGAAGTGGAACGAAATGCAAACTTGATCTATAGCTCATCAAGGTACACTCACATGCCAAAAATTTGGTTCAATATCTGCAAGCCTTTAGAAAAAAGAAAACTAAGTGGGACGGACTGACAGACAGACAGACAGACGAGGAGGAAACCTACCGTCCCCTCTGGTATCACTTATGGGACTAAAAACTTGCAATGTACTATATCATAACAAAGTTGAAAGAGCTAATTGAGATCTTACTTTGATTTGCAAACTCCGATAGTTTTAGAAGCAGCTCTGAAGCGAACCATGAAAACAGCCACAAAGGTGACATAAACTGTAACATGTTTAAAAGTATCCATATAATATATCCAATGTCAACTCCCCTATTAGAGAAGAAATGTACAATAATGGCGCCTGGCTTGAACTTTAGAACAATGCTCCGGTTCAAACATCGATATGTCATTTTAGTTTTAAGTGAAATATCCTTCCTTTTTAAATGTTTTTGATTATTTTGAAATATGATGAAAAATGAAAATACGGAAGTTAATTCAATTAATAATTCAATTGATAAAGGACTTCCCTGTGATAAACGTTACAAGATCCCTATATATTAGAGAGAGTATTTGTACCTATGTAATAGGTATATCATATACTTTCTATTTCATCAAGCAGTGAATTCTTATTTTTGGATGTCGTCGTTCCTTTAACACACCTGACCGTGCCGACAAATTGAATACCGCGCGTTAGCGCGGTATGATTTTGTCGGCACGGCCATGTGTGTTATAGGACGGATACTACATCCTAAAATAAGATTTCAATGCTTATATTTATATTCTCTTATTTTCTCTCTTCATTGTTAATCTTTATTATGAATTTAGCGCCTTTGAGAACAGGTGTGCTTAATAGACGTAAGAGCTGTTTGTGACGTTGGAAAGTTAAATAACATTGTGAGAGAAAAAAAAATCACCAATTAATTTTAAACGCACAGTTGTTGTATTTTACGTTAATTTAACAGAGTAGTTGTTTTTTTAACAAATTGAGTCAAAACAATATATATTTCGGTGTTCCCAGATATTGAAAATGCATATAGTTCCTACTGTGTATTCTACCGCTCAATGACAAGGTTTCGTGTTTGTTATAGAGATTTAAACGTCGTAGATTTGTAATGGATTTCATAAAGAAAATTACTATATACAATTGTTTCTTCTCCTCATTCCTGGAGGTTACAAGCTGAAATTGTTGACCTACAGCCATCAATACGAATTATGACAGCCCTTCCCAGTCTATATAATTAGATCTAACTTATTTCTTCACTGCATAATGTTTCTCTAGAGTATATTTAACACATTTACTCATCGTTACTTGACGTTCTGCTCGAAAATAATATTCTTTTAAATCCTTTTTATTTTTTTCAGTCCCAGCTCGTTTATAGGGATCATTTCACCATCATTGCACTTTTTGGAGTCCGCTTGTCTATAACACGGGGACATTCCTACCTGATGCACCAATACCATACAAATATAATAACTTATTTTTAATTCTATAACTTATCATCTATTTATTACATAAATACATTTTTTGCATATGTGATATGCCTGACGTCACAATAGCTGTTTCAGCTTCCAGGGCTGATATGGATCTGCAGGGCGGATACGGATTTATATCACACCCCTTGTAGATTATACCCTTTAAAACAGTACTTGTGATAATACAAGTATTCTTTAACCACATTCCCTTGATTTTACTACTCTTTTATATAATAAGCTAGTATTATTTATTTATATTTGCTCAAGAAGATGTTTTGCTATGTTATTATTAAGCATATGTGATAAACACGATAAAACATATTCTTTTCCATATCACATCCTGTACCAGCCCTCGGGCCTTCGGTCCTCTGGCGGATATTGGTGTCTCGGACTGAATACAGGATGTGATATGGAAAGTTTATGTATTATTCTCTCTCTCTCTCTATTCATTTGATTCTCCAAAAACCCCATCTTTACACAACTTCACATAATACAAATTAAATACTCAAATGTATGGCAAATACTTTAGAGTCGAATGTCAAAGATATAGCTTTGTACAAAACCTCACTGGTACGGAAGTCCATTAAGGACCTATCAAAAAATATTTTTGAATTGGATTAAATGAGTTGTCGAATTCGTTATAACAAATTTATTTGTAATAAGAATTTCTTTGAGTTCGTTGTAACGTATTTAAGTTGTTATAATAACTTTGTTGAATTCGTTATAACGAATTCAAAAATTTGGTATAACGAATTAAATTTCTTTTAACGAATTCTAAAATTTTGTTAAAATCAATTAAATTCGTTAAAACAAATTCTCAAATTTGTTATAACGAACTAAATTCATTAAGACGAATTCGACAAATCGTTATATTGAATTTATATATATTTTTCTATAGGCCCCGATTGTCGAATTTGATAAAACAAATTTTATTCGTTATAACAAATTTTAAAATTTGTTTAAACGAATATAATTTGTTATAACAAATTTTGGAATTCGTTTTAACAAATTAAATAAATTTGTCATAACAGATCAAATTCGTTATAACGAAATCAAAGAAATTGTTATAACGAATTAAATTCGTTACAACAAATTCGATAATTCGTTATATCGAATTCGAAAATATTTTTGATAGGTCCAAAATGGACTTCAGTACACTGGAGTGTAGGTTTCGGATATTTAACTTTTTAGATAGGGAAAGGTGGTCTTCCAGCTGATCCGCCCCCTAAGATTATATTGTCAAAGAATTATGTGTCTTTTGGTGTAATATTCAACAGCACACTAAAATCCAAGTGTCAGAGATAGTTAATTACACACAATATGCCAGCATAGAAACAAATGCATAATTCAAGCATATTCCAAACAATTGGAGTGGTTATTCCCCTTTGGAAGGTTTGCTACTCCGCTCCTTAAGCCTCGGTCTATCTAAATCTCTATCTTCACAATCCTTGAGCGTACTGACGTTCTGTTTGCTCGGGGATGCTGTGTCTCTAATTAGCCAGACCCACAGAAAGATCGCGGCAGAGTGCAAACTTCAAGAACCTAACCATTCCAATAATTTCTGGATAATTTCATTATACAAACTCGGCAGCGGCGTTGCTGATTGGGGGCAGATCCAGGGATTGTGTTTTGTCGTGTTTACAATGATGGAATGCAGAGAGATTGTCATGATACAACGGTTTTTATTTATATATAATTTTCTTCAATAGAACAAACCTAATACTCCAAATGAATGGGATACACGCGATCATCGTTGATATTATTAAGTGTTTCACCATTCCTATTTTTCCCTTTCTCTCCCCTTTAAAATTTTTGTGAATTTTTTCATACTCAATAGATTTGGAGGGTCGTGAGATGAACAATTTTACTGGTATCACTCGATGCCCGGAGGTCCCATTTATTATTAAGCTCTCCAGTCGCAGATCATTCGGTGTGCGTAGCTTCAGATTGCTTTCCCTAAGGATCAAGAACCTGGCTCTAATAAAACCTATTCAGCTCTCACTTTTTGTAAGAGAGGCGAAACTTTTGCAAATTAACACATTGAAATGTAAGTAACATACTGGATTGAAAAGAAACTCAAAAGTGAGACGTTTATTTTTTTTTATTTTCCCCAACCCTCTGGCATTATTTGTCCTCTACCTTAATTATCAAGATAATCTGACTAAGGATTACATGGTCTCTGTAGATAACAACAAAGTGCAATTATCCTGGAAATATTTCAGATTTCCTAACACTGTGAATATATAGGCGTGAGATATGCGAGGTACTCAAGAACACTGTTAAAAACTGAATGGAAGAGGAAATAATATTCACTCAATTCCCCTTATATTTTTCAACGTAAAGATCAGTTTATAAGCCACATGAATGGTGCATCATTAGGTTCTGATACAAAAAATACATGTATTTATGAAATATACATCGGAAAAGTCCAGTTGTCTGGAGGTACAAGTGCAGCATAGCGTCAGATGACACAAACTAAACTGAACTCCTTACTTTTTAATTGCTAAGATTCTTCCTGGTTCGTTTTATTAAAATGTTTTGAACATTAATCACATATAATGAAGTTTTACAATTTACAATGTGGTTGCACGCGCGCGCGAGAGAGAGAGAGAGAGAGAGAGAGTACTTCAGTTGATGAGGACGAACAAACTGCATGATTTTTTGACTTGTCCGCCATTTTATGTTTGGTTAATCTGCAAATTGTTCTATTCCTTTTAGAAATGATGATAAATACAATGTGTAAATAACAAAGTTACTGTTGTGCTACCAGTTTTAAATAATTTGACATTCGCTGAATGTATAGAACATTCCACGGGAACAGTGATACCAATTTAACATGTTCAAGTGATGATATAATAATTTTTATCTGCAGAAAAAAAACCCAGCAAACAATATCATTGCTTTATTCTTTTATCAAGCTTTTAACATATCATTTTACTTTCCTCAATTAAAAGAAATAGAAGCACAATAAAAAAAATATCCACAGACTGCTCCAGTTACAATGTATTGTCAAGCAATATTCAAAACAACAAACTGCACCATACTGGGGATAATATGTGAAGATTTCTGGGAATGAAATGACTGACAGACAGCAATAATTAGGCTAAAGGTTAGTCGCTTGTTCTTCATACATCTGTGTACATAATGTAATGTTTCCCTGTACTCTTCTATACATTTATTTTTCACACAATTACAAGAAAACAGTATATCGTTTATTTGATGTCAAAATTCGATAGCAGGAAGCATTGACGTATGGGTCGTGTATCCTCGTGACGTAAGGTGTGAATGACATCATTCTGATCCTATAACGATAGGAGTTGGAGAGTTGAAGAAGTGTAATTGTAATAGTAGACAAAGGATAGTTCTAGATAGTTTGGGACACAAATGTTGGGAACCTCGACACAGGTGTGACGTTAGCCCACTGTTTGTGCGTGATGTTTGACCTCTTTCTGTGAAGATGGCGCATATCGACCTGATGTGCGTGGCACATATGGAATTTTTGTCCAGTGTTTATTAGGGATTTGTACACTCTGTATCAGTGATGGTGATGGGGGAGGGAGGTTGTATCCTCTGAAACTGTTGGTGGGGTTTTCTGGACCCTATGTATCCATGTTGGTTGGGATTTTGTACCCTCTGTATCAGTGTTGGTGATGGGATTTGGACCCTCTGTATCAGGTACCCAGTTGGTAGGAATTTTGTATCCTCCGTATCATTGTGGTTTGGAGAATATGAATCTTCAGTTCCAATGTAGATGTCGGAAGAATAGTCTCTATTTCAATGTGGGTTGGGAATAAAACCCTCTGTTCCAATGTGAATGAGGGAAGCGAACTCTTTGCTTAAGCTAGGGTTGATGAGAACTACTTTCTCTTTGTGGATTTGGAATACCCACCCTATTTTCCTTTAGAGACATGACTGAGGTGTAGGGCTAGAGGACGTGTTATGTACGGAACAGCGGTGATATTGATTCTGATAGCTCTTGCTTTTGTACATGAACAACATTCTCAGCTCCTTTCTGAAGTAGGCTCCCGTGAGACAGTAAAGAAAAAAGTTCACGCAGTAGTTCATGTAGAAAATTGTTCTGGTGATGAACATGACATTTATGTTCCAAGTCAGTTCTGATCCATCGTGATCGTCTTTAAGTAAGTCGTCCGTGTTTGTTGTCTTCAGAAGTTTGGCAAGCAAGTGTTGTTTACTCCAGATGGCGGTGTAAGGGGTATTAAATGCAATGAAACAGATGGAAATTGCTATCAGGATGATGGTGAACTCTAGTCGTATGATGCTTTCCTCAGTGATTACCTTGCACTCTCTGTGATGCTTATTCCGAATATACAACGTACGGATTATCATGGTATTCAAGACAGTTATGATAACGAAAGGGAGAAATATGATGGACATAACAAAGATGCAATCTAGAACGAAACTAACGTCCTTGTAAGTTGGCTCAGTCGTGCAGACTTTGACCTTGTTAGGGCCTACCTCGATGGAAGCTGTCAAGCATGGTTTATATAGACAAAGCACCAAAGCGAGGGTGATCACTGACGACACGATTTTTCTGGTTGAATGCATGTCACAAAATGTTTTCCTTTTCAGCGTATGGCACACTCCAATGTATCGCTCAAAAGTAAAACATACAATGATCCAGGACGACAAAAATCGGGATATATATTGGAGGTAAATCAAAATTTGACATATGCCATTTTGTTCTAAGAATGGGGCCGTAAGGACTCCAGGAGTGTACGAAATTGCTCGTTTCACCCACTCAATTAAGACGTAAAATATAAGCGACATAAGATCTGCAGTAGATAGAGAAGCAAGATATAAACTTGCCGAGAGTTTCCGCATATTTTTGGTCATGAAGACTCTCAAGGATAGGATGTTTCCGAAAATCCCAATGACGAATATGAATGGCGTCATGTATGTAAATATTTCCTCGCCAACTGTTGGTGAGTGAGTTTGTTCCACAATGGGCCTGCAGTTGTTATACGAATCATTAACTAGATAGCAAGGTTCCTTGGTTTCCTGAAATTTATGAAAGATTTCTCATCATAATATGTCTTTAATTTAGAGAGAGAGAGAGAGAGAGAGAGAGAGAGAGAGAGAGAGAGTTGGTCATCTACATATTTAAAACTCATAGAACGACTATCCCTTAAATCCTGTTTTAGATGAAAGTTTAGCACTTTTTATCTAATGGACTAACATTTTCTTTCATTTATTAAAATGGGATCATTTTGTTTTAAATAGATACATATGTTATTATATTTTGCTGTTGAAGTTTACTCCTAAAATCGCAATTATTTTATATTATAAATCATCTTGCTAGTGGCTCGCGATCGAGCCATTAATTGCTAATCAGAAATTGTGGCAGTAAATATATAGCTATTTGAAACTTGCGTGCAGTTTTTACAATTTAATTTCTTATCGAACTTAGGAGTTTCAGCTTTTATGTATTAAAGCTGACAAATTCGTTTTCTGTTGGATTATTTTTTTTTGTCACGGAGGTTCCAATTTAGACAGTTGTTTGACTTGGTTTTAGTCTCCAAGTTTTCCGGAAGCATTATAAAAAGACACTGAACGAGCAATTAAGGAGAGTGTTATTAGTAAACTCGGGTTTAAGTATGACCTTTAGATCTCCTAAGGCGGCTGTTGAAAGATGGTAAACGATTGATTCTCCCGGTCATTTTGACAACAAGTTTTCAGAATCACTTGGGAAATATTGTCCTTTAAAGATACGGACTGTCACGCGCCGTATACTGGTTACCGACTCGTTATTGTCTTTTTTGGCTTTTGAACTCATTTAGACATGTTCAAATCGCGCGGGAAATCAGGCTAATAATGTACCGGAAATAACGATTACTTTTCCTACTGAATCTCGCGTAGTTAAAAATTAGTCATTTGCAAAATGAACAAGAATACTTTTTTCTTCCTAAAGCAGTGGTCATTTGTTATAAGGTTTTTAGAATTGTAAAATACAATTTTAAATAATTAAGAAATACGTGGACATGGTGTGAGTCATGTGTGACCATCAGTGTTTGAATATGAAAATTGATGAAAATAGGAAGGTGGGAGATGATTCAAGTCGATTTTAAATTTATAAAGATAAAGTTTGTATCTAAATTTAATTATTTTCATCCTTGATTTGAGAAATCACTTTTATAAAGTAAACAATTTTCAGACATTTATCTGCCTCACCAATAATATTTGATTCGAATTGACCTAAATCTTAACTTGCCAGTTGTATTCATTGTACACAGTATTTTTCAGATCTTAATTTGACTTTTTGAACAGAATTTTAAATATAGTTCCTAATTCTAATCTCAAGGTTGTTATTTTCTTTTTATTTATAACAATTTTCATTCATCAAAACAACCTTAACCAAAACCAAAACTAGTTCAATAAACACCAACAATTTCACTACTATGTACTGGTATGTACTTGTAATGGCAAATTTTCACACAAATAATATTTCCCCCTCTTTTTTAAAATAAACGATTTCAGCCGAATTAAAATTGACAATCCACATAGAATACTAGAATTGAAATGGGTATCCATGTACATACTATATGTATAAATGTAAATAACTTTTTTATTGCGAGAACTTTATTTTCGCGTAATTATTCGAGACTGTCTGCTCGCGAAAATTTCATTCTAGCGTACATTGTATATTGGTATTATTGAAAATTATATGGAGCAATGACAGAATTTCGTAAAAAAAAATATCGCATGCGTATGTCTCGCTTCTAAATACCATCGCGAAAAATCGCGAAAATAAGGTACAGCAAAAATTAAGTGATCTACAGTACATTATTTCAGAATTTCTTAAAGTCTTTATATTGCTTGAACCATCTTCTAAATGAACTCGGACTCAGATGAAATCGATGATTAATGATAAATACTTGTCACAAGGAGAGAAAAGTGACGATTGATATCTTTTCTAGATATTTACTTTTAAAAATGAAATCTTAGCGAGTTTTAATTATCAGATTAAATCAATTTGAAATCAACGGAACAGAAATTGTGGATTTATGAAACATTACAGTTTTGTGTGCATTCTCCTTTTATTTACGATTTAGGAAATTGATAAGAGATAAAGTGACAAAGATTGAAAAAATAAATCCTTTAGAATGAATCGACGCTTTTAAAATCGCAAAGAATGAAAAAAATTGACAAATATTTCATTGTTGTTGGTTTATTTATATTTTATAACACACATCTATTTGTGAGCATATCTTTTTTGTTCAAAAACAGAAACCTACTTGTCGGGGTGAAATATTGTGGTATATTTATCATTCTAAACAATCACAGACCCATCCACAAAACCACGTATATCACGTAAGAGAAATCTTATAGAAAACACTTAAAATAAAACACAAATTGTACTAAAGAGAGATAAAAAAACCAATTAATAAAGTTTCTGATAAACTATTTTCTATCCGTCACTCCCTCTTTGTTTTTAAATCTCTGTCAACACTTACAATAAAGAGGTATGTGTAAGATAGGGTCACGTGAGCCGCTTCTAGAGTTATATCATGTCTGGATCTAAGGCTTAGGATTGCTTATCTTGCACGAAGATCTGCGATATCTACGCTACTCTAATTCAAGTGTTCATCAAGAATTACACAGAAGCTGATGTCAAATATTGTTTATTCGTCTATGTTGTGTCTATATTCTTGTTTTCAATTTGAAATATCTGATTGAGGCAATAATTTGTAATTTGATTGTGGAGATTGTTCAAAAATAAATCTCTCCGATTTATATTTATCAGAATGTTTGCATATTTCTTTGCAATGATCTCTTTTTTAGTACATAAAAAATACAAGATAAATTCAAATATTTACATTTGCTGTGTTTTTCTACTAAGCCAACTGTGAAATTGACTTGAAAGTCATTTTTGTGTATACTCACGCGTAGAAATATTCACGGTGAAACTCGCGCTTAAGTGACGTCACAATGAGGCTACAGAGACGTAAATAAAAATGTAACGATATAGGGCAGCAAGAAATTCAAATATTGAGTATATTATTGGTGCTTTAAAACTTGTAAAATGTAAATATAAGGAATGTTTTTAAGTTTAGTGTGAATTATTGGTGTGTAAATCACACAGACTTGTACGTAGGCATATTTTTCATGAAGCGCTAGCGCGCTTCATGAAATATGCCTATGTGACAAGTCTGTGTGATTTACACACCAATAACTCACACAAAACTTCAAAACTTTCCTTAATTGAATTCAGGAGTTTTAGTAAATGAATTCTTACGGTTTTTGATTACATGTACATTTGTTTATCTATACATCATCAAAAATTAAGAGAGCAGTTTGTGTTACTTGATTATTTATTTTTTCCAGTCAATTGAGTAACAGTTTCACGCAATATTTTCTGCTTAAAATAACTTAAATTTATCTATTAATTCATTTAAGTTTCAGTAACATAATTAAACAAGTACACAATTAACAAGTTATATGAATCCTTCAATATTGTTGACTGCTGATGCGAGCTATACGCGATTCATTAAATTGAATTTTGATTCCAGTCACCTTGTAAAGGGAGGTAATGTACACTCTTCTTCTGAAGACAGAGCATCATATCATTTTTAGGGAGGAGTCCTTCTTTAATTTCAGTTTGATTGGATACATAGAGTAAATACTTTTTAGAATAAAATATTTAATTTCTCTCCTTTTTACTAATATTACATACAACAAACAAGCTTTTACAAAAACAAACATTTTAAAGCAATTCGGAGCAATTATTCTGTAATAGTCTGTAACGATGAATGAGAACAACCAGGCGGCAATCTGCGTATAACACATTCTTACATTATCATATTCCAGACTTCAGAATAATTACATGTGTTAAGAATTTGCGTCTATGAAGTCTACGAAATTGTTCAGGATTTACACACTTAAAATTTATAATGAATACCTGCAGAGCACGCAGTATATTTTTGTAGAACACCCAACACTTAAATATATCTCTGTTGAGTTTCATCTGACGCATGTAAATTGTAAGTTTAAAACGGCAATCTTATTTATATAGTGCAAAGTAACAATCTCGCGAATATAAGATTTCGCGAAAATTAAGTGATATACAGTATTTTAAGGCCCTGAGATCTTTATTTGCACACAAGATGAAGAAATCTGTCGTAGATTGTTATCATTTTTTTTTAATAATATATGCGATACGAAGTGAAGATCAAGAAATTATACTTTCCCATTTTTTCTCATACACTTTAAATTATAATTACGACATGTCTACTTAATATACTGACCCAAGAATTTTTAAAGAATATTTTACAATTTGTCTAAAAAATTGATTCTTACAAAGTCTTTTTAAAATAGCTTACAAGAAAGTAATTAAGATTGACATGTGCTCGTTTTAACATTATTGATTTTTTCCATATAAACATGAAATGTAATTTATTTATATGGTTGACAAGATCCTAAATTTGATTTATTTAATTAATTAATTTAATCAGTTTAATTAAATTATTTGATAGGATGGCTGCAGTTGTAAAACTATTGTCAAGATGATAAGGAACTTGGTTTTAAATTTCTATTCTAACAGAGGGTTACTATATATGTTTAGCTAAAATGTGTATCCTAATTGGTTTTTCTCACTGAATTCCATTGAATTTTATTTTTATAAACACAATTTTTAATCATATTTAATTATTCTGCAAGTAGTGATGACCTTTCGTTGCTTACAGGAATTTCATGACGGTAGATTAAATATAAAGCTTTTGGCATTCACCGTTAATTTTTTTGCAAAACATTGGACTTTAAGCTTTTATGTACTAAAGTTGGCGAACTCGTTTTCTGTTCAATTACTTTTTTGTCACGAAGGTTCCAATTCAGTTAGCTGTTTGACTTGATTTTAGTCCCATTATAAAGACATCTTATGAGCCATTAAGGAGGGAGGTTTTAGTAAATTAAAGTTTAAATATCGTCAGGAGATCACTTAAGACTGCTGGAAGTGTTGAAAAGTGATAAACGAAGATTTCTCCCGGTCATTCCGACATCATGTT